AAAAGACATCACCAGTTTTAAGTCACTCCACTGAGATTGATGAGGAACTCCGTCTCAGCAGGGGCCTCAAGGTGTGGAGAGTGACATTTGGGGGCAAGGCTCCACCGTCTGGGTGGCTGCACCCTCTGTCTGTGAGTTAGGATACACTGCTTGTTCTCTGGGTCTTTGTTTCCTCTTGCATCCCTGAGAGCACTGGTCCATTTGCCTCCCAGGCTGACGTAGACACCGGGAGATGACCTTGGCCTTCTAGCCCTGCTTCTCTTCTTGGACCCTCTCCACTCGCTCACTGTGTTATTACTGGACTTGTGGGTCCTGCCCTGCCATTTATTACGGACTTCGGCTCCCGACTTGCAGGCTTCCTCCACCCTGTGCCTTCTGTAATCCTCCCCAATGACATCACTAACCACGCAGATGGTGACCTGGCTGTACCCTGACCTCCTAATTCCTTGGGTGGCTGATTGTGATAGCACATGCCAGTAGGAAATGCTGACGCAGCAGAGGCGAGAAAATCCCAAGTTCAAGGCAAGCTTAAACTACATCTTTCAATGTGTGCTGGCCATTTGGTGTAGAATTCTCTGGCTCCTTGGGCATCCCATTCCCAACAGCATCACCTCTGTTCTGTCTCAGCCATCGCCCACATCCAAGGCTGCCCTTATCCCATGACACCACTCCACCTTCAGACTAGCAAATGCCCCATACTCCTCGGACTGGCCACCCCAGCCTGGGATTCAGCTATTGGCACCACCCCGGCTCTCTCTTCTCATTTTATCGTCTTGTTTGGCTCAGCTTGCCCCATCTTGATTTCCCTCCTTTGGCCCACAGTTCTTCGGTTAATAATATTTTGTGTTGGGTGTGGGGACACACATCTGCAATCCTAGTACCTGAGAAACTAATACAGAAGGATCATGACTTTGAGGCCAGACTGGGCTATATAGTGAGATTCAGCCTCAAACCTCTATCTCTCTCTCTCTCTCTCTCTCTCTCTCTCTCTCTCTCTCTCCCTCCCTCCCTCCCCGTTTCCTTCTCTTGCTAAGACTGTAAATTCCTTTGTTCCTTATCACTGACTCAACCCTAGAGTAAAGCCAGCCACATGTTTCCTGTGTCTGTGTCTAAGCAGCTGGGGGAACTCTTACGTGACCTTTTCCTGAGAAGACATGAACATCTACTTACTCCAGATAAGCCACCAACAGACCAAAGTATGATTCCACTGAAGTCCAGTCCGGTGAACCAACGAGTTTACTAGGCTTCCTTACAAAGTCTGAGTGATTCCAGAGCAGCTATACCACCGAAAGGTCTCACTCCAGCACAATGACTCCCTGAGAGCGGCACAGGCGGAGCGCCTCCTTCAGGTCACCTTCCACAGTCTCTGCACCCCAGCACCTCCACAGCCCACACAACTACCTGCTGCTTGGCTGGATCCCCTACACCTGGAAGGCAGGTCTAGGAAGGAACAGCTGGACTCTCAAGTGAGGGTCTAATGACCTCAACCCCCTCTTCTGGAAAGGTTCGATTTTGAGGGTTGCTAGCAAGGAACTACAACTGTTTTGATGAAGATACTAAGGGCAGTTGTACAAGATACAAGATACAAGACAGTGTGCTCTAGGCACTAGGGGATCAGGAATGGAGCGAGCTGGCTCCCTGTGCCGTCCTGGGCTCCAACCATTAAACATCTCCAGCCTCTGCAATCCTCTGATTTCCCAGGTCAGCTTCTGCATTCGCTGCGATCATTTCAAAAACACTGATGCTTTCTTTGTGCCTACTGGCTGGAGAAGATTACAACCTCGGGAGCAAGAAAGAACATCAGCTCCCTATACCGAACAAACCAACTACTTCCACACTGCCTTCCCTCTGCTCCTGAGGAGGGGTCACCCACTCCTGTGTGGAGTCGTTAGTCCTGCTTCTCCCTTTCCTCAAGAGAGCACAGTGGCAGTAGGGGTGCGGGTGGGTGACTATACTGGATTGCCTCTCTCTTCTTCTTCTGGTCATTCTGAGTTACTATTTGAAGTTATCTTAGGGTGTGGTGGCACAAAACTTTAATCCCAGCACTAGGGAGGCAGAGGCAGATGGATCTCTGAGTTCAAAACCAGCCTGGTCTACCGAGCACATTCTAGGACAGAGAAATTTTGTCTCGAAAAATCAAAAAAGGAAAAACTAGGAGTGACCTATGTGGTCACTCCATCATGGCCTCTTCTGCAGATTGCTTCTCCAGGCTGGTTCCCTGGAGCTGGGGTTCTGATCTTGCCTGCTGTCTTCTCCCGGGCTCACAGCATTCACATCTGTGGCAGAAGATGCAGAAGCTTTTCCCCCAGGTCTTTCATGATCACCTCTGGAATTTCTCAAAAGAGGCCCACACCCAAGATGCCCTCGAACCCAGGATCTCCCCCAACTCCCTTCCCTTACACCACACAATCGCCCAGATCCCAATGGTCACTCCCTCAGTCTCTACACCCATGGGCCTTGTGGGTTTGACTGACTAAGTTCCTACCAAATCCGCTAACTTCCAAGCCCACCCACCCTAGCACAGGCACACTCCAGTGCTGTGGCCTCACCAGCATGGGTCCACAAAGCCAAGATATCTTTGCGAAATGTGCTGATTACATCATTCTTTCCCTGACCATCAAGGGCTCCTCACTGTTCTGTAGGTAAACCTACAGCTGCTTAGCGTGAGTTTGGTGGGACCCAGGTTACTCGGAACGCTACTCGGTTCTGTAAGGTGCTCTGGGTTCCCACCCAGTTTAGAGTCTGACTCTGACACATACTGACACATACTGTCACATGACTTTGGGCAAGTTACCTGAACCTTTCACTATCTAATAATGGAAGTAGCTCACACGTGAGATGCAGGGGCATTAAGTTTATCAAGCACCTATAGTAGTGCCTGTTACACACAGGTAAGAGGGATTCACCTGTGCACCCCAGAGGTGGGGCATCTCTTTCCACTCGCTCTCTCTATTCTAGAAGACACTGGCTTTTTCCTGGGCCTTACTTCATCACGTTTCCGCTCCACAGGGCCTTTGCACATGCTCCCATTGAGTCTTGTTTCCTTTCCCTCTTCAACTCTTCATTGCCCGTGCAGCCAGCAGGTCACAGCTCAAATGTGATCTCCTCGGCGGAGCCTCTGGAACCCCCTGGCACACACTACTCCTCAGTAAAACAAATTATACATACATATATATATATATATATATATATATATATATATATGTATGTATATTTGTTTTCATTCATTTGTTATTTTAGTTCTGGGGGTTGGTTATTTTATACTCATGCGTCAGAATAACAATCCTTCCTCCGAGGCTCTGGGCTCAGCAAGCAGAAATTAATTTTGTCAACTTTATAACTCTGGCATCTAGGCCAGGTATGGTGGCACATGCCTTTAATCCCTGCACTTGGGAGGCAGAGGCAGAGGCAGAAACAGGCGGGCCTCTGAATTCAAGGCCAGCCAGAGCTACTAGTGTAACCCTGTCTAAATAAACAGGCTAACAAAACAAAACAAAAATCTCCAGCCACCAGCAAAGAGACTGACATAACAAAAGCTAAGTGAATGCTGGCTATTGAGAGAGAGAGAGAGAGAGAGAGAGAGAGAGAGAGAGAGAGAGCTCCAACGCCTAGAGACATGCATAACCAATGCTTGTTTAATCTGACAAGAACTCTCCTTTGGGGGAAGTTCTCAAAAGTCCTTCCCTGTCTCCAGACGCCTGAAAATTCTCAAAGGCCCCAAATGTGGGAGGGGATTGTCTCCACGGTGAAGACACCTTCCTTAATGGGCATCTAACAACATCTAGCAACAGAGACCAGTTCCTCCCCACAGCTGGCCGAACAGCGCTCATGACGCAGACTTAAAATGCTGGTGCATCTGAGCCAGGCCTGCCCTTGGGGTCCACCTAGCTGCTTCCTGGGGGACCCGGAGGAGGGTAGAGAGAAGTCCAATCTCAGGGTCTCAATGTCACACAGCAAGTTCTTGGTAGAACCTAGGGCGCTTCCCTGCTCATTGCCAGTCACTAGTCTTCTCTTTGGATAAACAGTAAGCTCCACATGTGACCAAGAGGCAGCAGCACACACATAACTTGGCTGCAAAGAGATGGAGGTCACACCCGGAGGAGGGCTGGGGAAAGGCCACAGCAGAAGATGGCTCATGCCAGTCAGGGTCTCCCTCATGGAATGGATGGGCTATTTGGAGTTGTCCCTAAGAAATCAGCAGGGAGAAGGAAAGAGAGAGAGCTCCTTACGGGGAATGAGTACTGCCAGCCTGGGGGACCTAGGGGTCAGGTGCATTTAGATAGCTCTGCCAGGCTGTTGTGAGGCTACGGGAGGAAGGAGGAAGGTAGAGAGACAGGTCTAAGAGAGTGAAGGGCCGGTAGGAGGGGGTGAGCTGGAAACCAGCTGCTGTTGAGACATCCTCCCCAGTCCTTGAGAGCTACCCTTCCCTCTGCCAATGCCAACCCCTAGAGGGGACATCCCATCCCATTCCCTGATGCCAGAGGTTAACTGAGAAGTTACTTTTTCCACCAAGCAGCGGCCAAATGGAATCAGCTATGATCAGGATGGAAGACAGGAGCCGAGTTAGGAGGAGCCAGCCAGAAGTAAGGCAAAGGTTAATGCAGCGGATGTAGCCTTGAGCATAGGTGGTGGTGTCTGTGTTGCAGCTTAGCGGCTCAGGTTCTACGCTCTCTGTACCCCGACCTCATGCCTGAGCAGTACAGCTCCTCATCAACCTCTTCCTAAGCTAGAGGTGGCAGGGCCAGGCCAAGCAGAGACGCTAGAGTTACTGGGCTCAGCCACGCTTCCCACACCAACACTACACACACACACACACACACACACACACACACACACACCCTGCTCAGTCACTCTGCTCTGCCTCCAGGACCTGCTTATCCCTCACCCACCTAGCCTGGTCTCACGAGGTAGGATTTATGAGGACTTCCCTGCCATGGGTCCTGGGGGAAATAAATCACACCAGAGCCTGTGTGTGTATAAAAGAAGGGTCATGGGCTCTGGAGCTACACAGACCTTAGACAGCCTTGGCTGAACCAGATGGACGGAAGGAGGATGCCTCTCTGGGGACTCCTGTTGATGCTCTGGAGCTCTGGAGCCTTCAGTGTCCCGACAGATACAGCTGCCTTTGGACGGTAACTTGGGCAGAGAGGGGGTGGCAGGGTATGGGACTGGCTAATGCTCTCAGCTTTCAGATACGTTGGGTCACCAGTTCTTATAGCCTGTCAGTCATGGATGTGCAGTCCTGCTCTGAGAATTTCAGTGACTTGCCCAATGCCACAGTAATCAGCCGTATCTAATTAGACCTGGAAGGTTCTGTCTTTGGATACCCATCAGAGGACCACACATTCCTGACCCCTACGTTCATCATGCAATGACTGCAGAGGGTATGGGCAAGTTAACTCTCCTGGGCAAGGAGAACGGTGAAGAGGTCAGGGGCAGGGCCTCTAGATTCTTCCAGGTTAAATTCCCTGCTTCAATAGCAGCCGACAAAGCCAGCTCCAGCGAGCAGCAAGCTAATCCCACCAAGTCTTAGTGCGCTGTTTTAAAACAGGATCATAACAGAGCCTGCTTCGTGGGGCTGCTTTGAAGATTTGATGAGATAATACATATAAAGCCGTGAGTGTCATACTGGGCATGGTGTTAGAAGTCATGGCCACATATTGGATTATCACCAAGTGAAGTAAAGGAAAGGTTCCTGGCAGCCTCATGCAGGGAAGAGGAAATATTCATTCAGTGCATGTCTAGGCCTGTGGGAACAAGGTTTCTTTGCTGTTGTTGTTTTGGAGACAGGGTTTCTCTGTGCAGCCTTGGCTACCCGGGAACTCGTTCTGTAGACCAGGCTGGTCTTGAACTCACAGAGATCCATCTGCCTCTGCTTCCTGAGTGCTGGGATTTAAGGTGTGGGAACAAGGTTTCTTACAGCAGGAGCAGGGAAGAGGCAAGACTAGGAGAAGGTTCACGCAGAGCCAGAGTCTGGAGATGGAGATGGGGGAGGGGTCTGGGGAAGTCCTGAAGGATTCATTGCAATAAGAGTTGTGAATCTTCCAGGTGGTGGTGGTGGTGCCTTTAATCCCAGCACTTGGGAGGCAGAGGCAAGTGGATCTCTGAGTTCAAGGCCAAGGCCAGCCTGGCTACAGAGTAAGTTCCAGAGCAGCCAGGACTACACAGTGAAACCTGTCAAAAAAAAAAAAAAACAGAAAAAGAAAAGTTGTGAATCTATCTGGTGTAGGATCTTATAGATTAATCCATCCTAATCGCGGCCCCAACCCTGAGCACCCATTTTGCAGATGAGGATACTAGGGATGTCCTCACAGACCCCTGGCCTTTGTTTCCAAAGCCTGCCCCTCCTTCGCTCCCAGGTTTGCAGACAGCCGCTGCTGCAGTAAGAGGATCGTGCTTCCCAGCACCCCATCCCCAAGGACAAAGGCCTAAGAAAGCCAAAACTTGTGAGAGGGAGAGTGGACTCAGAGGAGGGCAGGAGTCAGGCTCCCTGCTCCCTGCTCCGTGTAAAATATTGTACAAGTCACCTTAAGGGGTCTGAGCAATGTTCCTCTTCTCAAGGTCCTTGCCTTACATACACTTCGTGTCCAACTTCCAAGCTGAAGGCAGCCGGCTTAGCTTGAGCAGTGATTGGGCAAGACACAACCATCACGGTCCCAGGGGCTGGAGGGGTTAGAGAACGCTCAGAATCACATAGCATGTCCTCAGCACCACGTGTCCCCACTATGCCATAGGCTAGGCTGGTGGGGAGCACTCAGGGAAAACGGCTCCTTGGGCTGGCATCCTCGGGGTTGCCATCCAGGTATGCTCTGGTCATGGCTTGAAGGACTAAGGCTCCAGGAGAGGAATGGAGGAGGATTTGTTTTCTTGTTTTCTTTCTGAGACAGGGCCTTACTGTGGAGCCTGAAACTCATCATATAGACCAGATTGATTATGTTTTCCTTTCCTCCTGTAAGGAGTAGGAATAATGAAAACACCTATCTCGTGGGATGGCTGGGATCAAATAAAATAAGTGTGAAGCCACTTGTGAGGAGCGAACTGTGGTGGGACTACAAGTCGTTTATGCCAGAGATTACGAAGATAGGCGTGAGATAAGCCGAGTAGGCAAAGCAGGGAGGGTGAGGGCACAGAGGGCCAGGAAGAAAGTTTAGGATTCACGAGGGAGAGGAAACAGGGCTCCTCTGTGTGTCTGGGAAAGCACACTGCCGCTGAGGGGGCCTGTGCCAGAGTTCCCTGGCTCAGGGCTCGGGGTGCCTCTTCCTCTGACTGCAAAAGAGTCTTCGTGTCTGTCTGGGCCTGGCAGCCCTGGGTAGGAAAGACAACCAAGCAGAGTGTGGAGTCTCCGTCCGGCATTTCTGAGTCATCTTCACCCCTGTGAGCCTTCAGTGTCTCAGCTGGAAAACAGGGAGCTAGCTGTCTGGTGGTTTGTATGTAGACCTGGGCCAGGCAGCTGCTCGGTGGTCAGGAGCAGCCCTGTGGGCCGCCGTTTGTACACCTTTTTATCTCTGCCAGCCAAAGGTGACTGGAGGACAGCTGATATGAGGCGAAGGGCCTGGGATTCAGGCCCAGGATACATCATTCCCCAGGTGAGGCACACAGGCCTGCTATCTATAGACGCTGGCCCATCTGAATCTGGCTGGGTTCAGTGGATGCACACTACCTGGCTCTGTGATACCCCAGGGGTCCCCAAGTCCCTGCAGCCTGCTGTGGACATCTGCTGCCACCTATGGGCCCCACACGGCACTGCCTTCCCAGTCAATCAGAGGACAGGTCAAGAGGCAGTAAGTAATGACCTTTATGTCCCAATCCAGAACAATGAGGCACAGTGGTGTTCAAACACATGATGATGATGATGGATGGGTGGACGGAAAAATTACCTTTTCTAATTAACATGAGACAACAGAAGAGATTTGGGGATTATTTAGTACCAGAATAAGGAACTCAAAGAGGCGTGTACAGTCTCCTGAGAAACCCCTGGGGCACAAGAAGTGATTCTTGTGCATGGGAGAGGGCTAGTGATTAACAAGCCAAAAGCAAGGAGTCTGGGCTCTGTCGATGTCGGGGGACTACGCGACTCTCCTGTTTACCTTCCTCTACCCTGGAGCAGGATCTTGCTCAAGAAAATGCCCTCCGTCCGGGAAACCCTGAAGGAGCGTGGAGTGGACATGACCAAGCTCAGTGATGAATGGGGGAAGTTCACCAAGAGGTCCTCCTTTGGCAATGGCACCTCCCCCGTGGTCCTCACCAACTATCTGGACGTGAGTGTCTACCCCAGCTGCTATTTCCTTTTCTCTCTGGACTAGCAGGCTGGGCTCTTTCCACACATGCTTGGCTGAGAGCCAAAGAGCGCCGAGAACTCTCTAGAACTCCTGCTTATGGTTGAGAAGTCTGTGATTTTGTTGGTGGTGGTAGTTTGTTTGTTTTGTCTTGCTTTTGAGACATGGTCTCACTAAGTTGTCCTGGCAGGCCTGGAACTCACTGTGTAGACTAGGCTGTCCTCAAACCTGCAGAGATATACACGCCTCTGCCACCATGTGCTTTCATGCCCAGCTATTTTAACCACTTTAATTGGGCTTTCATGCCTCAGTGAGTCTGCTACATTCCAGGACAGCGGAGGATACTGCAGAACCCCCACATTTCAGCAAAGTGGAAAACCAAGAGCCAAGAGGGGGTTCAGGCAAAACTCCCAAACTCAAGGCTCCTGAGCCTGGGTCCTCACTGTTCTTCTACCCCTGCAGACCCAGTACTATGGCGAGATTGGCATTGGCACCCCACCCCAGACCTTCAAAGTCATCTTTGACACAGGTTCCGCCAACCTCTGGGTCCCCTCCACCAAGTGCAGCCCTCTCTACACCGCCTGTGGTAAGGGAGTCAGGCCTCATGCTTCTCCCCAAGCCCTTCCTGCTTCACCTAACTCAGTTTCCCATCCTCCAGTGAGCTGTTTTCCCTCAGCCCCATGCCCCCGATCCTAGAAAAAAAAGAGAGAAAATGTCTCTCACCTTACTGAATTGGCCACCATGGTGAATAAGCCAGCTAAGGGAAGAGTCTGGGCACCTGGAAGGCTGTTCCCCAGGGTTCCTAGGATTCAGTCAGGAACAATGTTGAACAATGTTGCAACCAAAGAGTCCTGCGACTTTTCCGGTGATAGACTTAGTCAAGGGCCCCACACTAAGCACTTACTCTGTACCTAGAATCCTCTCTGGCACTATATCAACGTTAGCAATGGCCATAGAATTCTTTGTTTGAAAGTAAAGTTTTAGAGCATAAACACATAAGACAAAACCAAGAAACACTATCCTTGACTGGTGTACAATTTTTCCAAACTGGAGACTCGGGAACCTCCGTCCCCTGACACACACACCTGAGTTAAGCCATACTAACCATGTCCACCACCTGCCCCGCTTCTGAGCCTAGGTCACTAACTCTCATGCTGATCTGAGCCTGTATCCCTCTGCTAGAGATTCACAGCCTCTACGACTCGTCGGAATCCTCCAGCTACATGGAGAATGGGACCGAATTCACCATCCACTATGGATCAGGGAAGGTCAAAGGTTTTCTCAGCCAGGACATAGTAACTGTAAGTAGGATCAGCCCTACTGACATCCATGGGGCCCATGTGGAGCAGGGTAGGTACACTCCAGCCCATATTGGAGCCTGGGATGTTGAGGGACAACCTCCTTGGCAGCTTCCAGCTGAAGCCGCAGAGACCAAGGCTGCAGAGGAGCAGACAGGCTGACAATGCTTGTCGAGGCTTTGCATCTAACCCCCATGTGGGCAAGCCTAAACCCCAGCTTCCAACCTTGCTACGAGCCAGACCAGGCTTGGAGTTTTGTCGAGACTGGGGATCAGGGGTTTGTGCCGGGGCATGGTTTGCTTTCTTTTGGCCAGTGTCTAAACTGTGTTGTGGAGTTGCTCGGCACGGCTGTGCCAGAGCTAGGAAAAGACACATGGAGCCCCAGAGGGAATCTGTGTGAACCCTTCCCTCTCACTGTGCCTGTGAAATCGGGTTGGGACAGAAAAGGAAGCCCTGGTTATGATGGGAAAATTCTGAGCTCAGGCTGGTGGGGCGAGCCCGAAAACGGGCCTCTGGCAGGGGTGGCCTGGCAGGATCTCTTTCTCAGCCTTTCCAGCACTAGCCAATCCCATCTCTCGGCCCCCCCCCCCCCCCCCGCATAGATGTGTTGAGAACCTACATGTAGGCTTGCTGGGATAGTCTTAGCCACCTGCTGTACAGAACCTGGATAGCTCTGGGGTCCCTGTGTGGAAGCCAGAGCAGACCCCAGCCAGGTTTGGGCAGTGACCTCCATCCCCTCTGGTTCTTCTCTCACAGGTGGGTGGAATCTTTGTGACACAGACGTTCGGAGAGGTCACCGAGCTGCCCCTGATACCCTTCATGCTGGCCAAGTTTGATGGGGTTCTGGGCATGGGCTTCCCTGCTCAGGCCGTTGGCGGGGTCACCCCTGTCTTTGACCACATCCTATCCCAGAGGGTGCTGAAGGAGGAAGTCTTTTCTGTCTACTACAGCAGGTGGGCCTTTGATCCCAAGGCCAGGGCAGGGAGGGGTGGAGAACTGGAGGAATGGCAGGAGTCCAGGCCAGGATTTACGTGCTCCTGATGAAGTGGTCCTCAATCCATATCTAGAACCGCACGCTAGTCAATTAAAACGAATGGAAATCAAACACTGGGTCCTTAGGGAGTGGCCACACAGACACAGCCAGCTTCTTTGTTGGTACCTTTGTTTGTTTGTTCTCTCATTGATCCATCCGGCCAGTGCTCTGTGCCTTGTGCTGTGGGAGGCTCCAAGGGCGCACAGTGAACAAGACAATCCCTACCCTCCATCCTCATAGAGCTTGCTGTCCAGTAGGGGAGACAGGAAATGCAGCACAATGAATGCCCCGGGCACACCAGGCACCCAGTCCTGAAAGCTACGATGTTTTTCAGTTCTAAGCCAGGCATCTGTACAGTTCAGTCGGCCTTGGGGAAGCTGTGGTCAGGGTCCATGCCGGGCTGGGATCTACTGACAATTTCTGAGTTTAGAAAGATGGTCTGAGCTGGTGGTAAAATCGTTAGGGGTAAGAACAGAGTTCAGGGGCACTGAGAGTGAAGTGGAGGGGTGGAATCTACAGCAAACTCAGAGGAAGCAGCAGTCAGAGGGTCCTGTAGTCAGTGGATGTCTGTATTTCACAGAGTGAAGGCAAGACCATAAATAAATAATAGATAGATAGGTAGACAGATAGATAGAAAAGGTTAAGAGCAGAAGTGGGTGTCAGAAAGTGTAGATCACAAAATATAGGCTGCTTTGGGAAATGCAACAGGGAAGAGGACATGAGGCAGGATGTGGGGTAAGATCCAGAGAGAAGCAGGGAAAGGAGGTGGGTGTTCTAAATGCTAGAGGATGCTTGAGCAACGCTGTGGGTGGAAGAAGAGCTGATGGGAAGACTTAAAATACATGGGGCTCAGAAATAGGGGCCATGGAAGGAATTAGGATCCAGCAACAGGCAGCAAAGCAGGTCTGTAAGCAGGGGCCCTAGGAAGAAGTAATATTCATATAAGTAACTGAGTTGCACACAACACGTGCACACCTACCCCGTGTACACACGTGCACATACATATGTGTAGGCCGTGGGTTCTGGGAAACTCCTTCACATACACTTAAGCACTTTGGAAAGCAACCCAAGGCAGCCCTGGACTGAGGGTAGCATCACGAATGTGGAGAGGAAGACAAGGGCACTCAATTTTGACTGAGAACGACAGCCTGGCTCCAGCCACCACGTGTCCACGAACCTCTAGGTGGTTTCAGCTGTCTGAAGGGTGAAAATTAACCTCTACCCTACCAAACAACCATGTTGCTGAACCTTGCCCACAAAGACTGTCTCCTCTCTGCGTCCCTCTCAGTCTAAACAGGAATCTGAGTGAGACAGGAGCCCCATGTGGCCCTGAACCCTTGCCCCAGAACTATGCCACCACCCACACAGACTCCCATTTGTAAGGCCCAGCTGCACTAGATGCCTGATTTCTCCCTAGACACTGGAGTCTGGAGTCTACCACACACACCCGTTGCCCCCAAGTGAGGAAGGCATTATTTATGACTTATATGCATCTACCCTGTGTCTTTAAATCTGACGGTTTTCTGCAGGCAGCTAAACAATCCTAGAAATACTTCTGTTGCATTTGGGGATGGGCCGGCAAAGGAGAGAAGCAATGGGTTCTGCGTGCCTCCTGATGGCAGCCCCTAATGGCAGACTCCCCACCTAACCCCTAATCCCTCCCTCCCTCCCGCCCGCCCTGCACCTCATCCCTGAAGTCTCAGGCTTCAAAGGTCTCTAACTTCTGCTGATCTTTCCTTTAGGGATTCCCACCTGCTAGGTGGAGAAGTGGTGCTGGGGGGCAGCGACCCCCAACATTACCAAGGCAATTTTCACTATGTGAGCGTCAGCAAGATTGGCTCCTGGCAGATCACAATGAAGGGGTCAGCGATCATAACCTTCCTAAACTGATGGTGTCACCGGGATTGGGGTGGGGTAGGATAAGGGTGGGGGCAGCCACTCCTTAAGGCACCGCCACTATCTGCTGTCTGTCAGCTCTGTCCAGGATGGGGACATGGGATGGGATTTGAGGATGAGCAGGAGAGGATTCAGGGAGAGGAGGCAGAGTCTCTAGACTATGTATTGGTGACAAGAACAGTCAGCACCTTCTCCGGGCCCCTGGGCTTCATCCAGTGTACCACTTGTATGGCTGATCTCCTACCACTACCCTAAACTGGGAAAGACGTGCCGGCTGGGGGATGCCTAGCAACTTCTGCTGCCTGCCTTCTTGTCTGTCTGTCTGCCTGGCTAACTGTAGCCTCCGCAGGGTGTCTGTGGGGTCTGCCACCTTGCTGTGTGAGGAGGGCTGTGTGGCCGTGGTGGATACTGGTGCATCTTATATCTCGGGTCCTACGATCTCCATGAAGCTGATCATGCAAGCCCTGGGGGCCAAGGAGCAGAGCACAGATGAAGTAAGAAATTGGTGGAGAGAACGCAGAGGGAGGGGGTAACACCACCCGGCTCCAGCCTCCAGCCCATCTGGACAGTTCTGGGTCCCAAGCAAAGCCATTTCAAGCCATCTCCTCCTCACCCCTCACACTTCCTGAATGTGTGGTGTGTCTCCCGTGGAGGGTGAGCAGAGACTGTGTCCAGGACTCTCTGGCACAGGGCTCTGGACTTCTTCAGAGAGTCCCACACTGAGAAGAGCTTCCTTCCTTCCTTCTTCCAGTATGTTGTGAACTGTAACCAGGTGCCCACCCTCCCCGACATCTCCTTCCACCTGGGAGGCAGAGCCTATACACTCACCAGTGCGGACTACGTGCTGCAGGTGAGGCTCAGTGGGAAGGGTGGGCAGGGGCCACAGAAAGGGGGAGAAGTTGTAACGTACAGATCACCTACTAGGCCAGTGGCTCACGAGTGCCACTCAGGTCGCCTAGAGAATTTTTACCAATCCCAGGACCCAGGCCACATGCCTCGCCTCGCAGATCAGAACTTCCATGGCAGGCACCCCAGATTCACTTGGGCAGTGGTAGCGCACACCTTTAATCCCAGCACTTGGGAGGCAGAGGCAGACCACTCTGTGAGTTTGAGGCCAGCCTGGTCTCCAGAGCAAGTTCCAGGACAGCCAGGACTACATTGAGAAACCCTGTCTCAAAAAAAAGAAAGAAAGAAAGAAAGAAAGAAAGAAAGAAAGAAAGAAAGAAAGAAAGAAAGAAAGAAAG